AGGGTTTTGTTAATTTCAGCACCTGACTTTCAAAAGTATCAATTTAGTACCTTGACTATGTAATTTTTATCAATTTTGGTCACTCCGGCCAAATTGCTGGCCAAATTTGGCCGGAAAACCTTAATCTAACATTTAGTTTATAATATGATCAAAAGACCATTTTGCCCCTCAGATTATAGATTACGTGTTGGATTAAATTTTTCTGGCCAAATTTGACCGTCAATTTGGCCGGAATGACCAAAATTGACAAAAATTACATAGTCAAGGTACTAAATTGACACTTTTAAAAGTCAGGTGCTAAAATTAACAAAGCTCCTATAGTCATGTGACCAAAATTGAAATTATCTCTATGTCATCTATTTGAAAGAGTAATATCTTCTATGCATCACATGCATTTTAATTCTCCAACTTAGGCCCTTTATGAACAAACCAAATGTTTATTCTTGGTATCTTAAGAATGTTTCTCAAAATAATATATATATATATATATATATATATATATATATATATATATATATATATATATATATATATATATATATATATATATGCGCAATTGAAAAGAGAAAATCATCCAAATTGTATAAAATAGTACACTGTATGATCTCTAAGATCCTTAAAATCATGCTTTAAGTAGAGATCTCCTAATGTTAGCATAATGATAACTATACTCAATGACCAATGATTTAACTTAAACACTACCTCTATCGGTTAAGAGCTCAGAGTTGACACATCTGCCACTCCCACTCATCAAAATAGTTAAAAGATAGTTTAGTCACAAAAGCATTCCAACAACTTAGAGAATAAACAAAAATTTTAAGTCTATTATTTTGGAATTTTTAAACATATACCATAACTTCCAAAATAATCTCAAGATCCACCTCAAAATGAACTGAACAGTATAAGTCTTACTTTTATGTTTCGCAAAATTGTTTTGAGTCTTAATAACTCAGGATCAATTTTGAAAAAACTAAAGACTCTAGATCTATTAATTGCTAAAGAATTTATTAAATAACAGTGGACCACAAGTTAAATTTTTTTGTTCTAATAAACTCCTTAATATTGTTACAAAATTTTCATAAATATGTTGCACAACCAAATGTTCAATAATTTGAAATTATGAATTTATATGAACAAATACAAGATTATATTAATACTTGTGGAATCTTTTGGACTTATTGTTTGACATACAATCCAATTTGGGATGTATGAAGACAATAATTAAATATCCATAATCTTTAGTGAAGCATCTTAATGATCTTTTTCCAAATGAACACTCCTATATTGATTAAGATATTTTTCAGCGAAATTAATGATATATATGAACTTAATAATATACACAGTCATAATTGATTTGACCAACTAAATAATGAAGATATAATTCCCCACCATTAGTTGTGCATACTAAATAATCACTTTTTTTTATGTTTCAATTATAGTCCAAACTAAAGGAATAACTAATGAGGACATGCATAACTCCCCACCATAGTTTGAACGTACTAAAAAAAAAAATAACAACAAAATACACCTTTTAAAACCAAGTTGAAATTTTGGCTCAAAAGATACAATTTATTTTTGGAATCCAAAAGAGGTATACAATTTATTTTTGGAATCCAAAAGAGGTATATCATATCAGTAATTTACTATAGTTAGTGCAACGAACTAAGCATGCTAAATTTTGGAAAGTGACTAAATACATGTTTTGTCCATGCAAATCATGAAACTTTGAATTATAATTGAACTAAATTTATAAATTCTAAGAAATTGTGATAAAATTATTATCAAATGAGTTGAGGGATTTATTGACATAAAACTTGCCTGTGGACTAAAGTTTTAATTCTATTAAATCCAATTAAGAAACCCTTATGATAATACTTTATCTCAATTATCAAATAGTCAGAAGAACCTAGTTACATAAAACTTGTCTGTGGGCTAAAGTTTTAATTCAACTAGTATTTTCACTTGTGCATTGTACGGAATGGATTTGTTATAATATTTTAAGAATATTTGGATCGATATACAATTGTATAAATTATAACATTGAATATTATGTAGTGCAATTGAAGAATTGAGTTGGATTGATTATGTTTGCTAATGTTATCATTGCTTGAATTCGAGCAAATAATTGCCTAATTAATAGCTAACGTGTAGATATACACATCCGGTACTGAAACTTTAGAGATTTTATATATCAGTGTTTAGGATTTGTATTAATTGAGCTAATTAATTAACTTGTTGTCTAGCAACGTAGTTATAGAAATCATTTGTACGAAAGATATATAGCAATTTTGTCATCTTTGTATAAAAGAAAAACATAATATCACTGGTTTGAATTACACATTATTGAAAACCTCTTTGTAGACAACATTAGTAGTAGTAATAGAATTTTGTTCATCCTCGTTTAGAGCTAAAACCTTCAGGCTATCAAGATGGGTGACTTGGGAAAAAGACACGTACAATTGATCGTGATTAAAAACCAATTTTTTTTACCAATAACCCAACATGAGTTAGTGTTTGGCTATGACTTTTGTTGATAGTTATATATGGAATATGTGAGCATCAACGGGAATTGTTTACGCTGCAACTTGAAGGGCAATATCGTATCAGAAGAGGTGAGAGACATTCGGGGGATAAGAACTTTGGTTCCTTGATGTGTCCCATTAATTATTCTTGCTTCGACAATGTGATCTGCCAATCTTGTGACGATGATGCGCGTACCGTTGCAAAGACCAAGAGAATGGTCTATGTTCCGCAATAACATAACATGTGCACCAATATTTAATGTCAATGAATGATTAGGAAGTCGAAACAATCTCAAACTATTTAAAAATTTAGGAGTGTGTACTTCTGATAGATTTTCATCATTTGATTCTACCTTACACAAAGAGTCACAAATTAAATATGTTCGACATTCTGCAGTGTTCATGTCACACATGTACTGATTAGTTTGAACAACGACATCTAAAGTCGGTGAGAAGATCGCTCACCCTTCTTGGTGCGACTCATCAAGCATGCCATATCTTGCGCTTGGGAAGGTTCTTTCCACTATAGTTGCTACGGGATCGGGTCCACACTTCAACAAAAACTGTGCCACAATATCGATCTCAAACAAATCGTCGTTTACAACTCCTGTAATCTCATCTCCGATGTCTGCAATCCATTTTGAAAACTAGTCAACCGTTTGTCTATCTTCATCTGAAGCTAAGGTCCGTAGTCTCAAGTTATTTGTGAGCCTCAATACCTTGCAATTTGTCCAGAGGTATGAAGAATTAATAGTTGCTCCGATAACTATTGGTCTCGTTGCTTTCGGAATAACTAGAAGAAACTGACTAAAATCCAGCTTCTCAACCTTCACAGCTCACATTGCTTGTTAGGCTCCAAATTTCCAATTGGACTTTTAGGCACCTGTCCATCTAGAAAGTCGTGAAAGATAGGAAAAGTAAAATAACTAAATAAAGTTACACAGAGAGAAACACAATATAAGTGACAAATAAGTAACCTCTTCAAACAGATCATTATCTTCTTTGTCATAAATATGCACGGGAAAAACTACACCATTGAATTCTCTTACAGTTGTGTTAGAATAGAACTGCAACATATACCTGTGAGTGGTTGTTTCGTATCTATACAAATTAGTAACCACAAAATTTTTTTTAATACCGTAAACTCGCCCATTTTTAAATTTCTTCATCCACTTTTGAACATAAATTTTAGGAATATGTGCATGAAGAAAAGTTCATTGAAATTGAAGTGTAAAAAAAAATAGAGCAACCATATGCATAAAAAAACTTTTTGAATTAAAAAATATTCAGACGATAGGATAAATACAATACCTCTTCATCATTGAATACGCACTCTATGATTGTTTCAACGCCTCTTCTCTCTGTAATCTCATAGGTAAGCACCACTCTAACCTTGATTGCATTCCTTCTGGTTCTAGGAGAAATTTCACGTCCAACAATATCGATAGATGTTGAAGCCATTCGCATTTAATTGTATAATACGAATAATTTTATTTCAAATTCTGTAAAATAATTTGACAAAATGTGAAATGTTTTATTACTTTTTAATATTGTAAATTAATTTGTATTTTGATAAAAGCAATTAATTTTAAAAAGGAATTTTTTATTGATAAAATAAAATAATTTTTATTTGTTAATATGATAGTAAGATTACTTTTCAAAGTTTTTTTGAAAGGTTAGTTCTCAAAGGGTAAACCCGAGGGGTTCAATTCACGTATTTTCTAACCTTAAAAGTTTTGGTAAATGAGTAAACCAAACATGGCAATTTATATCCTCCACAACAGCGCGCGTTGCATTGTGCGCCCAAATGCAAAACGACGTCGTTTCATTTTTTTTTTTCATTTTGAAATTTCTCGTCCCAGTGTTTGGCAGTTAATTTTTCTTTAAAAAAACAACCCATGTTCAAAAATGTACATAATGTTATACTAGAATACACATAATTGTATACATGAATGTACATAATTATATAACAAAATATACATACTCTTTTTTAAAAGATAATACACATAATCTAACATAATACATAATAAACATAAACTTTTAACATAATACACATCAACTCTTAACATAATACACAAAAATTTCCTAATTCGGATGTACATAATTGTATAAAAAGAATGTACATAATTGTATAAAAAATGTATATAATTGTATAAAAAATGTACATAATTATATGAACAAATATACATAATCACAGCAACTTCCTACCGCGCCTGCCAAAACGACGTCGTTTTGGGAGGCGCGCGGCGCACAGTGCTACGCACACCGTGGTGTAGGGTATAACGATTGACCAACCATGTATCTTTAACACTATTATTTTATCTGAAGTTGTTATAGGGGATTATCCATAACTATAATGAGCTAAGTCTATATTATTATTTTTGGTAAAATTTAAACCCGCACATTGCAATTGCTCGAAAGTACGTAGTTAACTTTACTGGTATAGTAGAAGTTAGGCGGAGCCTAAAGGCGGCTTTCCTCTTATTATATAAACTACCAATACATCTATCTTCTTTATCCTCTGCAGCATAACATGGCTTCATCTCTTCGTTCATTTGCAGCTGCCCTTCTCTTTGTGATGCTGTTCATGACCACTGGTTTGCCTCCTCCTCCTCCTTCTTCTTCCTTTCTTCTTAACAGAACTGTACTTAATTGTTAGGATTAAACGCTTACCACTTATGCCTAAAGCTATAGTCAGTAGAGAATGCACAATATTATTTCCTTATATTGTCACACATTTTCAACACACTCGGTGCTGAATTTAGCCCTTTAAACCTTTACAGGCCTCTGCCCAACAATTCCCAGCCACCGGGTGCTAGGTTTGGCCTTATACCAACCTCCGCCCAATAGTACTGACCCAAAACTCCCATTTTTGTTGTTTTATAAATACAACCCTTATACCACGGATTAGGGTTTACGGTGCACTGTGGACCTTGGAGCATGTTTATGTGAATTTATGATCATGTTTGGTAACATAGTTAGCTTATCAGCTAATTTTGACTTATTTGATCACTATTAGCTATTTGATCAACTTGGTTAAATAATCAATATGAGTGTTTGATTAATTAGCATTTTGTAACAGCTTATTGCTCCAAAATGCTAAAATTCAAAAAGCTGTTCAAAACACATTTTCGATCAGTTTTTTGAGAAACTCATTTTGCATATGAATGAATGTAGTATGTGGTAATTGTGTGCAGAGCTGGGAAGAAACACAATATTGGTGGCGGAGGCGAGGAAATGCGAAACGCCGAGCTCCAAATACAAGGGGATATGTGGTCGGGACGGCAACTGCGCATCGGTTTGCAGGACGGAGGGGTTCCCCCACGGCGATTGCAAAGGGATTAGGCGCAGCTGCATCTGCTCTAAGCCTTGCTAATTCATCCATCTAAGCTACCTATATACTGGCAGCTGGTATGTAGTGTAGTGTGTATGGCTAAATAATAAATAATGTTACAAATCCAACGAATTGAACCATGGAGTCTTAGCTTCTATGATCTCGGATTGTTAAATTTTAAGCGTCGTAAACCGCGGTCACATTAATATAATGGTAAAAGGTTTAAGAAAACTATGTCGTCTACTGGCCTAACTTTCAAGTTCTAACTCTATGTAAAAGTAAGATTTAGTGGAAAAATCTTACTTCATGTGACAAATGAAAATCAAATAAATATCAACACATAAAACACACAATCTACGTAGAAAATCTTAAATCGGAAAAAAATTATGGACCACCAACAATAAAGTTTCCATTATAACAAATTTCAGTTACAAAGTATAGTTGATAATTTGGGTAACTCTAAGCCAAAGACATTATTTCACATTCACAGGCTAAAAGAAATAATACCTCCTACTCAAAATATTAAAATACCACGAACAAAATAAAAATGAATACAAATAGTACAAAAATATCTAAAAGATGCATGGAATAAATATAAGTTGACTTTCAAAATATTTAATGAATATAAGTTGACTATCAAAAATTCAACAAACTTGCGGCAAAACTGTACCAAGGATGAAGAAGAGAGAAAATGGATAGTTTTTCTCTCTACTCTGCCGAATGAGAATGAAGAAGAAAATGGTTTTCACTCCTTTCTTTTGCTTTCTCCCGAAATGGGAAAAAATGAAGATAAGAAAGGAAATTGGTTTTTTCTCTTTTCACATACTGCCAAAGGAGTATGAAAATAAAGAAATATTTTCCCTTCTTTTCTGCCGAACAATCTACTGTTTTAACTATCAACCACTTCTTATAATTGGAATGACATTTAATGAAGAGTTAATACCTCCAATGGTCCTCCGAGTATTAACAATTTACCAGCTGTGGTCATTCAACTTTTAAATGACCTCCAATGGTCCTTCATGTTTTAACAAATAATACCCGTGGTCTTAATTTTTTTAAAAAAACCCGAGTTTAAAATGACTACGAGACATCCTAAAAGGATCACTGAAGATTATTTTTTAAAACATGGAGTATCATTGGAGGTCATTTAAAAGTCGGATGACCACAACTAGTAAATCGCTAATACTCGGAGGACCAGGTATTAACTCTTTAATGAATGTTAGAAACTTCCTCAAGAGGATAACAAAAGTTAACATTATATTATAGAGGTTCAGAGATTACAAGAAATTGCAGGCTCAACAAAGCAAATATATATTATAGTGGATACAAACAAGCTTAATCTAAATTGATCTATTTATCACATAGGGAGAAACCCAACCCAATAAAGACTACTTTTCAAAGTTATTTTTGAAAGATTAGCACTCAAACGGCAAACCTGAGGGTATCATCGGCCTGTACATTCAAGTTTTGGTGTGTGAGTAAATTAAAGATATGTCTTGAAGTGCTTATACGAATTATTTATAACTAGGAAAACGTTTAAATTGACCATTGAACTGAATATAAAAATACAATAAGGTAATTGAACTAAAAAAATATGTAATTAGATCTTTCAAGTAGTCAAATTTGTTTAATTATACTAAATAGCAGGTTAATGCCTTCCTCAACATGCTACCCCTGCCATATTTCGCGTACGTGCATATTAAATTAAACATATTTTTAATTATATTTTTAAATTAAATGCTATTACTTTTAGGAAAAAATGTAATTTTAGTCCCTTAATTGTTCATTGCTAACGATTTTAGTCCCTAATTTTTTTACCATGGCAACATACACTCCTAGTTCTTCAAAAAGTTGCATTTTAACCCCTAAAAGTACACCAAAGTTATTAAACACTATTAAAATTGTACTTTGTATATGGATATTTTAAAATTTTATTATCTTTGTTCTTTATAACATTGTCAGTTTTTGTATTTCATATGTGAAATAGAGATTTGATAACACTCTTCCCTAAAATTTTCCTTTTCGATTGTGGCACATCGTCCCTACTTTTCTTACATGACCTTGTTAAAATCATGTTTTTTTTTTTACAAATAAAATATTGACACTAAACAATATTATAATTAAAGAAGAAACATAAAAAAAAGTACTAAAATACTCGTGTACTAAGTAAAGTTTTAATATAGTTTAATAATTTTTGTTGCTCCAGTTGTTAAATATACTGCAACTTTTTTGAGTAGTTAGGGATGTATATATGAAACGGTAAAATGTTAGGGACTAAAACTACTAGTAAGGAACAATTGATGTACTAAAATTGTATTTTTCCCTTACTTTTATTATTAGCCTCCCCAAATCCCCAAATTACAAGGATATTTTTTTCCAAAATCTCCAATCGCCCAAATCCCTCATTCAGTCTGCAATGACAAACCTACGAACTTGTAAACCTGTGAACTTGTGAGTGAAACTCCAAACTTGCAAACCATTTGATGTCTGCAATGCAACATTCGAACCTATGAACTTGCGAGCAAACCTGTGAACCGTTTGAGCGAATAGCGAGCAATGAGTGAAATAATGTTTAATTTATAACATAATTTGAACAAGTTCGTTGCTTATATTCTGTTTTATGTATTCTAGTTCGCAGGTTCTGGAGGTTTTGAGGAAAACATGTACGTAATTTGAGAATTTGGGAAGACTAATAATAATAGTAATAATGTTTAATTTAAAAATATAATTTTAAAGATATGTTTAATTTAATATATACATATGTGCTACGTGGAATGATAACCAGTTGAGGAAGGGATCAACCTTCTATTTGGTATAATTGAAAAAATTTAGCTACTTAAGAGATTTAATTACACATTCTTTTAGTTCAACGATCTAATTGTATTTTTGTATTCAGTTTGATGACTAATTTAAACACGGCAAATTATGCCCTGGACCCGTGTCCACAATGAACTGTGGACACGGGCCCAAAACGACGTCGTTTTTAAAAAAAAAAACGCGTCATTTAGTTAAAAAAAAAAAAATCGCGCGCGTTTTGTCGTTAACGGCGTTATTTTTTTTTGAATTATGAATGTACAGCTATGCCGTTATGAATGTACAGTTATGCAATTATGAAATTATGAACGCAGAGCTCTAACATTATGAACTTACAATTATGAACATATATAGTGATAAAATTATGACCATGGAGCTTTAAAATTGTGAATATAGAGCTTCGAAGATTATGAATGTACAGTTATGGAGTTATGAATGTACAGTTATGGAGTTATGAATCTACAATTATGAGATTATGAATCTACATTATGGAATTATGAATGTACATTTATTGATCGAATTATGAACAAAGAGCTCTAACATTATGAACTTACAATTATGAACATAGAGCTCTAAAATTATGAACATAGAGCTCTAAAATTGTGAACATAGAGCTTCGAAAATTATGAATTTACAATTATGGAGTTATGAATGTACAGTTATGGAGTTATGAATGTACAGTTATAGAGTTATGAACGTACAGTTATGGAGTTATGAATGTACAGTTATTAACATATAGTAACAAAATTATGAACATATACACCTATAACGAAGCTGTCTGAAATTAAAAAAAAAAAAAAAAAAAAAAAAAAAAAAAAAAAAAAAAAGAAGAAGAAGATAACAGTGCCTAACGGCACTGTTACCCGTGTCCAGCAAGCATGCTGGACACGGGTCCAACGCATAACGATTGTTTAAACATTCTTCCCCACAACTATAAGTCTATAACGAGTTAAATCTATATTATTTTTGGTAAAATTTAAAATGGCATAGTGCAATTGTCCGAAAGTAATTAACCTTACCATGGACCAGGGCCCATCTTGCAATTATGAACAACGTCGTTTTTATAAGTTGTGTGGGTAGTTGACGTGACGGACACCGTTCCGTCCGTCCAATCCCGTTAAAGTTTTTTTTTTTTTTTTTTTTTTTTTTTTTTTTTAACATTTGTGTTTATGTGTATTCTATTAAGAGTTTATGTGTATTATGTATTATGTTAAATTATGTGTATTATATAAAGAGTTTATGTGTATTCTACTATACAATTATGTACATCCGAAACAGAAATTTTTTTTAAAAAAAAAAATTAAACGACAAAAGCAGAAAACGACGTTGTTTTGACCATAGCGCACAATGCATTGTGTACCTTGCCTGGTACACAATGCATTGTGCGCCGTCGTGCACAATATAACTTGCCCACATAATAATTTGCCCGGAGGTAAACGTGGGCTTTCCTCTTAAAGCTATATATCCGAAAAACACTCCTCCATCTTCTTCATCCTTTGCAAAACATGGCTTCTTCTCTCCGTTCATTTGCAGATGCCCTTCTCTTTGTGATACTGTTCATGGCCACTGGTTTGCCTCCTCCTCCTTCTTCTTCTTCCTTTCTTCTTAACAGAGCTGTACTGACCCAAAACTCCCGTTTTTTGTTGTTTATTTATAAATATGCATATGAATGAATGTGTGTGGTAATTGTGTGCGTGCAGAGGTGGGAAGAAACACAATAATGGTGACGGAGGCGAGGAATTGCGAGTCGCCGAGCGGGCAATTCAAGGGGCCATGTACTAGTGACAAAAACTGCGCAACGGTTTGCTTGTCGGAGGGGTTCCCCCACGGCGACTGCAAAGGGGTTTTGCGCAAATGCGTCTGCATTAAGCCTTGCTAATTCGATCATCTATCTACCTATATAGCTAGGCAGATGCTGTGTGTGTATGGCTAAATAAATGTTACAAATCCAACCATGCAATGGATCAGTCTTGTCTTTGCTCTTTGGCAAAGCCAGAATCCAAATTCAGTTGGGTCAATATACTAAATTCCATATATAAAAATATGAATGTAATAAGTTATATTTATATATAAATGTTTTAGTTTTACAATTGTGCACCATGGATTTTTATATTTTGAAAATATTGCTTTATCAACACTTCAATTAAAATGTTGGGTAGGGCTGATAAAGAAGTCATGTCTAGTATCTGGTGGTTGGGGATTGTTGGGCAGAGGCGGTAAAATTAAAGCCCCTAAGGGACAAGTTCGTCAGCACCTAGTCTGTCTGGAACAATGTGACGATGGTCTATAAATAAGGAATTAAGTTGCGCCTTCGCTACTAGCTATAGCTTTTGGCGTGAGTGGTAAGCGCTTGATCCTAACAAGTGGTATCAGGTCACGGATTCGATTAACCCAGCAATAACAATTAAATTGGTTGGTGCTGGGAAGGGGGAATTGTTGGGCAGGGCCCGGTGAAGATAAGGGACCATGTCTAGTACCCGGTGGCTGGGGGATTGTTGGGCGGAGGCCGGTAAAAACTCCTAATGGCCAAGTCCAGCTCCCAACCTATTTCGGACAATGTGATGACGGTCTATAAATAAGAAAAAGAGTTGCGCATTCGTTACTAGCTATAGTTTTTTGTGTGAGTTGTAAGCGCTTGATCCTAATTCCTAACATAAAATAATGAAACAATCATTCATAGAATTATCTTCTATTTGATTGCGCAGTCTATTCTTCACTCGTTCATTACTGAAAAAGCTCTTTTAACACTTGCGGTAGCCATCGCCTACCAGCGGATCGGAGTCTACTGCTTTACCAGTACATGTATTCAGTTGTTTCATGTTTAATTTCATACGTTATTCAGTTTTCTTGTCTGAAGTTATCAACTAATTTCTCTTTTGTTTTTTCATTCACACAAATTTTAAGCACCGCAAATCGCGGTCACATTAATATAATGGTAAACAAGTTTTAAAAAACTATGTTGTCTGATCTACTGGCCTAGCTAACTTCTAACACTACATTGAAATGGGTTGATTTAAAAGTAATAATAAAGGACTAGTGATTGAAATGGGTGTTATTGGTTGAATGCCATGAGTCAAAGAATTGAGGGTTAGAAACTTTGGGTTCAAGACTACTAACTCCAAATTGCTTAACTAATACATCACTCTCGTGATCCATTGTTAGATCAATTTGGTAAGCATGAGTAGTCTAAATCTTCAACATTCCATACTCTCATAAGTAAGCTTGAAAGTCGTGAGATGTGTCTTAAGAATAATGTCATATGAGGGACGAGTCAACGAGTCTAGTGGTGTAAAAACCCGTGGAATTCTTACCCATTCGACTACCAATATTCCATACTAGACAAGTATTATATTGATAAGGTAGTACAGAAACTCATCAACACTATCACACTAAACCATCTCACTAGAACAAGAACCCTAGGTTGGGTTTCAATCGTTGAATGAAATAAATATTAAATACACATCCAAATACAATAATCATCACTATCCAACCCCTAAACTATTCTACTCATTCATAATGTAAAGATAGAAGACAAGAACATTCATCAATACCATCATTCAACAATATACGACAAATGAAATGAAAATAGCTTTAATAAACTAGAATCCAATAACATGGAGTAAATTTATTTATTTATTTATTTATTTTGATAATACAACATAGAGTAATAAACACAATAATAATAATCCAAGATATGCGAGTAACAAAGCTAGAACAAAAGAGTAGCTACAAAAGTAGAAAATACCCTAAACAACTTTTCCCTACAGTTATTGTGGCTGTGGCGGTCCTCTTTGGGTAAAAGGAGAAAAAGATGTATATATATAGGCACACTCCAAGGTTTCGGCGCACGAACCCTGCATGGGTATGCCACTGCCCGTGCAGAAGACAAGACGCGTCAATGCATCATCCTTCCTGGCTCCAGTCCTTTGCACGTTTTTTTTCTTGTTCTGCTTCCATGGTCCTTTTTGATGTATTTTTGTTCCAACATATCAACTTTAATTTTGATCTTTTTTTTCTTTTTTTTTGTTCATTTTCCTTCCTCCAAAGTGTATTTTTGAATCATTCTGAGCATAAAACACTTTGTTTTTTGTTTTTTAACGTTCAAAGACCCAAATAACTATTCCGAAATTGGTGCAAAATAGGTAAGAATGAAGTGAAAATATGTTACAAAGAATGAGAGTCATCATTACTGAATAAAAAAAGTTTAATTGTCATGTTAGATGGTAAAAATTCTTTTGTCCCCGTAGCTTTATCCATCCAAATGAGGGTTATTGTCTAAATAGCAAGAGTTCTTATGGATATATTATACCCATGACCCGACCCGGGATAGCAACAAGGACCCGGAACATCACGGTGGAACCCATGAGCAACATGGACCCGGGGCGGCACCACATTGGAGTCCAGGAGCAACACGGATCCGGGGCACCATGGAGGTGCCCAAGACCAACACGGACCCGGGGAACTATGGAGGTGCCCAAGACCAACACGGACCCGGAGCACCATGGAGGTGCCCCGACCCGACCCGACCTACGCGGAGCTCGGGTCGGGGAACTCGGTCCTACCCGAGCTCGGCACCACCCGAGCTCGGGACCCGACCCGGTCCACCCGAGCCCGGTCAAACTTGAGATCTAACCACCCCCGATTTAGGGGGAGGCGGTTGGGGGGTTTGGCTTGTATAAAAACCCCCTTCTTGTCCTAACAAAGGGCGATTCAATCTATATTCTACACTTATTACACACTATGTCCTATCGGATTTCTGTAATAGTCAATTCCTACGGCAATTAATATAATATACTGTCCCCAACGACTTTTACGACATCGTTCTATATTATTTATATATTATTTATATTACGTTCTTCCTTACTTCTTAACTGAGCTGTACTGACTCAAAACTCCCACTTTTGTGTGCTTGCAGACATGGGAAGAAACACAATAATGGTGACGGAGGCGAACAACTGCCCGAGGACCCCGAGCGCCCTGTTCAAGGGGCCATGTGTTAAGGGCGGAAATTGCGCACCGACTTGCAAGGAGGAGGGGTACCCCGACGGCGAGTGCAAAGGGTTCAAGCGTCAATGCTTCTGCATTAAGCGTTGCTAATTCATCTACCTATAGAGCCAGATGTGGATTACTCTTCTCTTTGCTTTTGGCAAAATCAGAATTCAAATTCAGTCTGGTCAATATACTAAATTTGATATATAAAAATATGAATGTGGTAATAAGTTATATTTATAAATAAATGTTTTAATTTTACAACTGTCCACGCCGCGCATTTTCATATTTTGAAAATGTTGCTTTATGAACATGCAATTTGAAACACATTTATTTCAATAAAAATAATCAAACAATCATCATTCATCGAATTATCTTCCATTTAATTTAATTATACAGTTTATTCTTCACTATTTTGGTTCGAAAAAGCTCTTTGAACACTGCATTGTGCAGGGGGCCTCGGCCCCCTCAATTTTTTTTTTAATAGTATAATACTTATTTTGGTGTCCTTCCTCAAAATATTTGGCCCCTCCCAATCAATCTTGCAGAATACATTTTCTATTTTCTAGGTTTTTCACAATATCAATTCTTATCTTCTCCGATGAGTAACTTGGTATTTTTTCATATATCTTTGAAGTTTTGAATCTTTAATTTCATTGAGTTTGGTATTGTATATTTTCATTTCTCTTCAAGCAACATTCAGAATAACTGCATTATATTATATTAATGACGGCTTCGGTCTTCCAAGTCAAAGAGGATGGCGATTACATAAACAAAGAATTAGATATATAAAATAGATATTAATTTAAAGCAAAGAATAAATTAAGATTAACATAAGCCTAGGGTGATTATGTATACATCATGAGTAGGCACAATATTAAAAAAATATATATATATTAGTTTGCTACTCTGTTTTAGTAGATTTAATAATGCATGTTTGAAATATATTGGATGAATATTAATATATTTAATTATTTACTCTTATATTCTAATTGGCCCCGCATCACTTAATCCTGGCTCTGCCCCTGGTAGCCGTTGCGTACCAGAGGAGTCGATCTGCTGCTTTACCATCTCTCATGGTGTTTGAATTGGTTCTCTTGCTTGCTTGCTAGCTGGTAATTACATGTACTCAGTTGTTTCATGTGTCGTACGTTTTCAGTTTTCTTGTCTGAAGTTATCAACTAATTTCTCCTTTGTTTTCTCATTAACACAAATTTTAAGCGCCGCAAACCGCGGTCACATTAATATAATGGCAAACAAGTTTAAGAAAACTATGTTGTCTACTGGCCTAACTTCTAACACTAATTAAAAATGGAAAAATTGTAAAAAATGTCCCCCTATAATATGTCAATTATCAATGCCAACCCTGAATTATGAGTGGTGTAAATGTTGCCCATTAATTATCAAAATGGTGCACATATAGCCCCTCCCGTAACGGACCTGTGGTTCCCCACCGCTGTCCATCGCTGGTACTTCGAATTGAGGGAGGGAAAAAATAACTAAATTACATATTTACTCCGACTTAACGATGTCGTACACTAAATTACATATTTACTCCGACTTAACGATTTCGTACACTAACGGGGAACCACATGTCCGTTACGGGAAGGGCTATATGTGCACCGTTTTGGTAATTGAGGGGCAACATTTAACCACTCATAATTCAGGGGTGACATTGATAATTGACATATTATAGAGGGGCATTTTTTACAATTTTCTCATTAGAAATTGTGCATTGGCATTATATTACCAATCACCACTCGAAATGTAATAAGTATGTAACATTATTTTTAAAAAATTCACACAACAAATTAAAGATAAGTCATAAATGACGGGTTTAGTTTAATCGAAAGAATATTAACAAGGATCAGAATTAAACTCGTGATTTTTTGATACCAGCAAAACCATATATCACGAAGCTAAGACGTACCCCTTTCGAGACAATGTATGGTACTTTCATTTTACCCTCTACTTAGTTATGAGTTATCTAAGTATACTTATATAAAGAACCCTACGAAAGCTTAAATGTTTTAGTACCTCACTAACTGATATAGTGAAGTCCCCACCCACAGCATTTGCATTTCCCCCAAAACCCTCTTTCGTTCTCATCAAAAGATTATTTCGTTGTTTATTGCCACTGCATTACTCTTGTGATGATCTTCATGGACACCGATTTGCCCTCTCCCATTCTCCATTATTTCTTTCTAAGATATATGTCATGGGATTTTATTATTTCAAACCTAATTGTGTTTAGGGATGGCAACGGGACGGGACGGGGACTGGGAGTACTCCGTCCTCATCCCCGGCGGGGAATTGAAAATAGGGTTTCCGTCTCTACGGGAATTTAGCCGGAACGGGAATCTCCGTCCTCGATCAACTCTTAGTCAAAATCTTAAATTAGTATAATTTTTAATTTTAAAGAGTAAAAACTTACATTTTAATTTAAAAAATTAAAATTTATTTATTTATTTTTATTTTTATTTAATTATAATAATTATACGGGAACATGGCGGGACAGAGAGGGGTATCTCCATCTCCGTTTCCTAAATTTTTTCTTTTTTCATTTCTGTCCCCGCCGGAGACGGACAAAATGTCATCCCTAATTATGTTGCCGATAAGATACCTGTGAAATAACATATATTTCCCGCCAACTAAAGCTCAATTTGTTATCTAAATTTGAAGAAAATAAACACCATGTTACCTTAAAGTGGATTAGTTTCCAATTGTATTAAAAGTCTTGCATGTTTTTTATGTAACCAAAATAATCATGTCATCATGTATTGATCCTTTACTAGCAATATTGTTTTCATTTTATTATTGTTATAATGTGATGGAAAAATGATATCCCCTTTTAATAACCTATAATACATACAAAAATTATGTGTAGCAATTAACACATTATGTACCTGCATGCACTTAGCTATTTATGTATCTATAAACAAATTGAAGGCACATAGCATGATAACTATAGACATATAAATTGTTAATTATAAGTACATAATATGTTACTTGCAAAAACATAAGATATTGGTTAACATGTTATGTATCTGCAGTTAATAGTTTATGTGCATGTTATTACCATGTGATGTACATTCAATTTGTTTATAAGTACAAAATCGGTTAATTGCAAGTACAGAATGTGACAATGGCAGATATAGAATCTGAGGTTATTTTTGGATCAATATCCACAATGCAAGGTAGACCGTCCATGGTATAATTTGCTGAGTATCTAATGTGTCTGAATTTTCTTGGGATTGGGCAAAGAGTGTTACAGTGTTGGGTTGGAGAGGCGCATTAATAAACCGCAATAGTGATGAGATTGGGCAATTTATATCATGGGATAAGGTCCACATAACATTATGAATCTTGAATCAAAATGACGAGATACATATTCATATTCGTAAGGTAAAAAAATTTCATAACACGATATATAAAAAATTACAACACAAGACATATGCACATGTTATATATTTAATTATTTTTCAAATCTGATTTACATATATAAGTTATGTTCATAGGCATAAACAACACAAGACACAGAAATTCATAACATAAGACATAATTACTAATTTATTTCAGGTACAAATTAAAATTCATACTCGTAAAGTACAAAATTTCATAATACAAGACACAAAAATTCATAACATAAGACGCATACATATGTACCAAGGTTCACAGTGCACAATGAACCTTGGCCCATAGTATAAGGATTAATAAGATTGTGGTATATGGTATAAGGATTGATGAGAGTATAATTTGGTGCCAATAGACCACAAGGTACTTGGCTCAATTTCGTCATAAGAGAGGTCGGTTCGGGTCTCAATTGAAGCGTAAAAATAGCCTGGCGTAGCCCTCAGGTTGCACGAGAGGGGTGGAGGTGGTCCTAATTTGTATGGGAATAGGTTGGCACTATTCCAAGGAGAGATGTACTACGTGATTTTATCCTTATATTGGAATAGAATCAAATTACATGGATCAAAATTTTTAACCATCTAACTTGGATATATATGATCCGTATTTCATTAAGAAGAATATTTATCTTTTAAAGTTCTTGGGATTGACTAGGCCAGTTCACGTCAACTAATTGATTTGCTTTGAACAAGTATGGTCGTATTCAGAACAAACAAAAATAAATTTATTTTTAATCGTCCTTAGGGATTGTTGGATTAGTTTGCCAGAAAAAATCTAGATACACGCGTTGAATAATTTATAGAAGTTAAGCATATAATAATACGAGTTGAGATGGAATAAAAGTAATAATAAAAGATTAGTGATTGAAACGGGTGTTATTGGTTTGATGCCATGAATCGAAGAATTAAGGGTTAGAAACTTCACCTTTGGATTCAAGACTTCTAACTCTAAATTGATTAACTAATACGCAACTCTCGACTCTCGTAATTTAATGTTAGGCCAATTCGGTAAGCACGAGTAGTCTAGACCAACCTTCAACAATCCATACTCTCATAAGTGACCTTGAAACTCGTGAGATGTGGTCTTATGAATAATGGCGGTTGAGGGACAAGTCAATGAGTCTAGTGGTGTAAAAACCCGTGGAATTATATTCTTGCTCATTCGGTTGTCAAAATTCCATACTAGACAAGTATTGATAAGGTAGTGCAAAGACCCATCAACACTATCATACTAAACATCTCCCTAAAACAAGAACCCTAGGTTGGGGTTCAACCCTTGAATGAAATAAATATTAAATACGTACGCATCCAAATATAATAATTACCACTATCCAACCCCTAAACTACTCTACTAACTCATAATGCAAAGATCAGATAGAATACAAGAACATTCATCAATACCATCATTCAACAATATATAAAACAAATGGAAATGAAAATAGTTTTAATAAACTAGAATCCAACAACATAGAATAAATAAACACAATAATAATCCAAAATATGCCAGAGTAACAAAGCTAGAACGAAAGAGTAGCTACAAAAGTAGAAAATACCCTAAACAACAACTTTTCCCAACTGTTATTGTGGTTGTGGCGGCCCTCTTTGGGTAAAAGGAGAAAAAGATGTATTTATAGGCACACTCCACACTGCTGGAAATTTGCTATTTTCCGACCACCGAAAAGTGGTCGGAAATGGCCTTAATTAGGTCGGAAACGCTTATTCCGACCTCTTTTCCGACCAATTTGGGTATCCGGAAAAATCCCCCTAGCTATTTCCAACCACCAGAGAGAGTGGTCGGTAAGAGTAACCACTTTTCTAAAGCCGTCGGAAAAAATGGCCAAGAGAATAGTTAGGCGGGTCCAGATTTTCCGACCACCTGGTGGTCGAAAATTTCGACCACTTTGGTGGTCGGAAAACTGGACGCAGTCAATTAAAAAAATTCATTTCACTACAGAGGAATCCTCTGTAATGAAATCAATATATATATATATATATATATATATATATATATATATATATATATATATATATATATATATATATATATTGTTCCAAGCTGGTAAAATATTTGCTGAAAAACATAAAATACACATTTCATATGCTTGAAGAGAATTCATTCATCGATATACAGTTGAAAATTTAAAACAAGTCAAAATATGGCATTTCTATTAGTCTCTTAATTCTAAATGTATAAACAGAAAAGACACAAGTTCCCAGGACATATTTGCAGTATGGAAGCAGCCTGTTCAATCATCAGTGTTTCTAGTGTCCTTCTGCAGATTAGGCATTTTCACTATTAGGCAGCTGAAAGAAGCAGAAATATATTAACAAGCTAGCTTTATCATGTTTCATCTCAGATTTTGAATTGCACTCTATTTTTAAATATCTAACCAGGGATGGTTAGAGCTCTCTTAAATGGAGTAATGCAGTTCAACATCATTGCCTCATTTGTTAAACACATGGAATCAACCAACTCATTCAGACATAACAAAGCTTTAGCTTTTACCCAAATTTAAAAATACTAATTTGAGGAGAATAAATTAATAAATTGTTAACTATTGGTCTATTCTTAAGTGTTACTACAAATGAGTTATAAGCATCTATATAAAGTTCTAAACCATAAATGGATAATAACTATTAAAGTCTTGGACAACAAAAGCTCCAAATAAAAGGACTATTATTAAGGTCAAATAAAAGCAATTTCTCAAGTATAAACAAAAGGCAATTGTAGCTCAAACCTTGGATATGGTAAGCTAAATACTCTCCTATTACTAATGAGATTTATTCAAAACTCATGTACCATGGAGTAGTAGGTTACCTTAGTCAAGCCTTTGATTGATTCAGCTGTCTCTTTATGAAATAGCTGGATAAAATTTTACCACCGGGATGAGTACACAACCATAATTTAGATGGTTTTTTTTTGCCTCGTAAAACTCATCTTGTTTGTATAATGAGCTAACATATTTCCCTAACACAAATGAAAGTCCGCATTCAAAAAACCCCCCATTAAGTTCATGGGAGTACATCTTGGCCTCTGTTTTAGCAGGAAGGCTAATATACTTCAGCCTTTGCTCCCTTAAGCATTATAACATAATTTCTTAGTTGGGATTTACCTGTCAGCTACCTTTCCAATTTCACCACCTAATGCGTCCACTTCAGGTACGAACTGGGACTTTGCAAGCCCACCAACAGCTGGGTTACAAGGCTGCAAGGATTTCAATTACTTACTGAATCTTTCCAAAATGTGAAGCAAACAATCTCAGATTCTCTTTGTAAGCTACTTGCTGTAAAATAATATCAAAATGTGAAGCAGACGATCTCAGAAAGACTGAACACTCACCTTTAGCTAAGGATTGTTGTCTACAGCCAATGGATTGTTTAAATTATCAACATCAGAGGCACTGAGGTAGAAGAGGGGGATTCACCTAGAATGCAATAAGAATTACCATAAGAGTCATGTCAAAGAAACAAAACTAAAGCACATCATTAAGACTCGTAAATGCTGCTAAAACTAAAGCACATCATAAAAATCTGCTAACTTGTTCATCTCAAAAAAATAACAGATTCATCTCAAAAAAATAACTTGGTGTTACTCAGTTTCTTCTGGCTGTGTACAACATTCTTTAATTAGCTGCTTTTGTTCTTCATCTTTCCCTCTCTTCTGTCTTCTGTTTGTGTTGCTGGACAACAGAAATTTGATCCGCGGAAGTCAAGAAGTGAGCTATTTTACCTCTGTAAAACCAAATAATTCAGTAAATTTCCTGAATTGCAAGAAAAGGAAAAAAATTACTGGATCATAGATAACCACAATTCAGTTCAAATTGAGTCGAAATCAAAATCAGAATACAAGGGTTATCTATCTCCTATGTCTCCTCATAGTACTGGTTAACAAATAAATCAATAATGACAATAAGCCTCTGTTTGCACATTTATACTTCGACTTTCCTCTCAAAAGCTTTTAAAAATTAGGTGACCTAAAGGAGATACCAGTATTCTAGCCAAGAAATGCTGCTTCAGACCTCACAAACCAGAAATTTGATTAAACAAAACACAAATAAGATAGCTAAATAACTAATTTCAAAGCTGTGGAAGCAACTACTATGTAAAATTAACATACAAGTAACATACCACCGAACCCTACAACCAACCAACCCTAAACCACTGACCAAGCAGAACTAAAGCAGGAAGAAGCAGAAGAACTGTAAACTCAGTGAAGATTTTGGACAAAATTAAACATGAATTACAGCATTCAGGCTTTAAACTAGAAACAAACCTTGTTTTACAAAGATTCACGAGAAGGTGTCTTTGTGTAGTTCACTGACGCTTTGCGAGTAAACGAAGCATTTGGCTTCTGATCCTGCAAAAGTCACAAGCAAAGATTCAAATAGGAATAGATAGGAAAAGATTCACAGAAGCACTAAATCCGCAAATAAGATTGATTTGAGGGAGAGAACGAATATGAACATAGAACACTTACCAAGAGGGAGAGAAAGAGAGGAAATATCTTCCGTATATTATGTCGATGACAAGCCACGGGTGGAGAGGCGCAGACGGAGAAGACTGAGCGATGGACGGAACTGAGCGGCGATGGTGAGAGACAGAGATGCGAGAGCTTTTTTAGGTGAGAAGTGAGAATGGATGAGCGGCAAAAATGAAATGAAATGAGGGTTAAGTCTCAAGTCTCAAGTCTCAAGTCTCAAGTCTTAACGTCTAATCTTAGCATTATATACAATAAATAATTTCTATTTTTTTTAAAGACCATTTTCGACCACCAAATAGAAGGTGGTCGGAAAATCCAACATTTTTCTGTTCAGTCCAATCTTTTGACGAAAAATTAAAATAATTTCACTTTTTGCGACCATTTTTATGAGTGGTCAGAAAAATGATAATTTCCAGCAGTGCCATTATTTCGGCGCACGAACCCCGCACGGGTTTGCCACTGCCCGTGCAGAAGACAAGGCGCGTCAATGCATCATCCTTCCTGGCTCCAGTCCTTTGCGCATTTTTTATCCAGTTCTGCTTCAATGGTCCTTTTTTATGTATTTTTGCTCCAAAATATCAACTTTTGGTCCTTTTTTTTTTTTTTTTTTTTCATTTTCCTTCCTCCGTAGTGTATTTGTGTTACTCTGAGCATAAAAGACCTTTTTTAGTTCGGAGACCCAAATAACTATTCCAAAATTGGTGCAAAATTGATAAGAATGAAGTGAAAATAGTTACAAAGAATGAGAGTCATCACTACTGAATAAAAAAAAAAAAAGTTTAAGGGTTAATGCCTAAATTGCAAGAGTTCATTCATGATGAGGGATGGATGGGATATTGGGATACTAAGGTACAACTAATAATTGACATATTTTTGAGGGGTATAAACTATAATTTTTTCATACTTAAACTATATATCCAAAAAAAACACTCCTCTATCTTCTTCATCCATTGCAAAACATGGCTTCATCTCTCCGTTCCTTTACAGACGCCCTTCTCTTTGTGATAATGTTCATGGCCACTGGTTTGCCTCCACCTTCTTTGATCTTCTTCTTCTTCTTCCATTCTTCTTTACTGAGCTGTACTGACCCAAAACTCCCATTTTTGTGTGCTTGCAGAGATGGGAACAAACACAATAATGGTGACGGAGGCGAAGAACTGCCCAACCCCGAGCGCCAGGTTCAAGGGGCCATGCATTGAAGGCGGAAACTGCGCACCGGCTTGCAAGGCGGAGGGGTTCCCCGACGGCGACTGCAAAGGGTTCAAGCGCCAATGCTTCTGGAGGCGTAAAAATAGCCTGGCGTAGCCTTTAGGTTGCACGAGAGGGGGTGGAGGTGGTCCTAATTTGTATGGGAATAGGTTGGGAACAATTCCAAGGAGAGATGTACTACGTGATTTTATCCTTATATTGGAATAGAATCAAATTACATGGATCAAAATTTTTAACCATCTAACTTGGATATATATGATTTGTATTTGATTAATAAGAATATTTATCTTTTAAAGTTCTTGGGATAGACTAGGCCAGTTCACGTTAACTAATTGATTCGCTTTGAAAAAGTATGATCGTATTCAGAACAAACAAAAATAAATTTATTCTTAATCATCCTTAGGGATTGTTGGATTAGTTTGCCAGATAAAATCTAGACACAAGCGTTGAATAATTTATAGAAGCTAAACAGATAATAATACGAGTTGAGCAGGGCAAACATAAGACTACATATGATGGAATAAAAGTAATAATAAAGGATTAGTGATTGAAACGGGTGTTATTGGTTTGATGTCATGAATCAAAGAATTGAGGGTTAGAAACTTCACCATTGGATTCAAGACTACTAACTCTAAATTGATTAACGAACACGCTACTCTCGTGATCCAATGTTAGGCCAATTCAGTAACCACGAGTAGTCTAGACCGGCCTTCAACAATCCATACTCTCGTAAGTGAGCTTGAAAGTCGTGAGATGTGGTCTTATGAATAATGGCGGTTGAGGGATGAGTCAACGAGTCTAGTGGTGTAAAAACCTGTGGAATTATATTCTTGCTCATTCCGCTGCCAATATTCCATACTAGACAAGTATTGATAAAGTAGTGTAGAGACCCATCAACACTATCACACTAACCATCTCCCTAGAACAAGAACCCTAGGTTGGGGTTCAACCCTTGAATGAAATAAATATTAAATACGTACGCATCCAAATATAATAATCACCACTATTCAACCCCTAAACTACTCTACTCACTCGTAATGTAAAGATCAGATAGAACACAAGAACGTTCATCAATACCATCATTCAACAATATATAAGACAAATGGAAATGAAAATAGTTTTAATAAACTAGAATCCAACAACATAGAGTAAATAAACACAATAATAATCCAAAATATGCCAGAGTAACAAAGCTAGAACAAAAGAGTAGCATCAAAAGTAGAAAATACCCTAAACAACAACTTTTCCCTACTGTTATTGTGGTTGTGGCGGCCCTCTTTGGGTAAAAGGAGAAAAAGATGTATTTATAGGCACACTCCATTATTTCGGCGCATGAACCCCGCACGGGTTCGCCACTGTCCGTGCGGAATACAAGGCACGTCAATGTATCATCCTTCCTGGCTCTAGTCCTTTGCGCATTTTTTATCCAGTTCTGCTTCCATGGTCCTTTTTTTTTTTTTTTAAATGTTTTTTTGCTCCAAAATATCAACTTTTGGTCCTTTTTTTTTTTTTTTTTTTTTTTTTTTTTCATTTTCCTTCCTACATAGTGTATTTGAGTCACTTTGAGCATAAAACACTTTTTTTTAGAGTAAAAGGCATTTTTAGTCCTAGACTTATAGTGGCTTGGACAATTTTAGTCCTCCATAAAAAATTTGCCATTTTTTGGACAGACTTATCCGGACGAGGACAATTTTGGTCCTCCATCTATATTCCTGTTAGATGGTCATCTAAGTGAAGGACATTTTTGTCATTCAATGTGATGAGTCCATGTCCAGCCCACTACTGCCGGTGATGAAAACGCCCAGACCATGATGGTGAAAGCGCCACCGGCTTCGTGAAAGCGCCTAGACCAAGACTGCTGGGTTCATGGAGGCGCCGGTGAAAGCGCTGCCGGCGAGAATGTTGGTTCCCACGATGAATTGAAAACAACATGGGTTCCTCTTCTTTGACCGGAAATGTTGAGAATAGCCGAGAGACATGCATTGACACATTTTATCAACATTCATTCCACCACCATTATATGCTCAGGCATGCAGACCAAATATAGGTAACCATTGATGCAAAACATAGAAAATTTGATCTGGAGCAACCGCAACCAGTAACATACTATTCCCATCTTTATTACTTTTTAGCACATCTACATTGACATAGCTAGCTCCATTGTAGACTTGGACCACATGTGTATATACGAGTCAAAGAATCCAACACTATGCAAGCTCTGTCTTCCATTGCTGCAGAGGATCCAACACTCAATCACCGCTCCGTCGTGCCAGCTACCCGTCCGTCCCAAGCCGCCGTCGAGTAGCGTCGTCCATAGTGACCCATCTGTCGCCTACGTCTTAACAAGAGCAAACTCCAAAATAGTCAAGGGAGATTCTGGAAGAACCTTCCTGTTGATGGATGTGGGTGGTGGCATATTTCTCACTTACTGAAGAATGCATTTGGAGGATGGAAAAGCAAGGAAAATAGTAGTTAAATGGTACATGCACTCTGGTTGGCAGCTGATTGGTGGGGATAGCGGTGGAACGCAGAAACCAATAAAGTGGATTTTTAGAAACGAAAAGAAAATAGAAATTAGTGGAGGAAGCTCTTGCCACCAGCCAAATTTCTCGGCATTTTCCGAGCTCTCCAACGATTGGTTCCCTGGTCTCCGATCGCTTGGAAGGTTTCGCAGTTCTCCGAGGATCACTGCTTGTAAGGAATGGATATTGTCCTGTACATTCTGCGAAGCGTGGTGCGGCAGAATTCCCGAGCAATCGTTGGTTCTACATGTGGGCCGGATGTGAGCTTTGATATGTTCCCGGTCAAATGCATGGACTCCATTGACTATCGACGACCCCAAACCTCTGATCCATCTTTATTACTTTTAGCACATCTACTCTGCAAAAGCTATTGGCGATTGGTGCAATTGTGCCCAGATCTCCCTTCTTTGGGTCCGCGGCGGCGTTGGAGAATCTGTCGTTAGAAAACTGGAACAAAGTGAAATTAGTGTGTTCTGGAATCATTTCGCTGCTGATCGATTCCCCGGAATCACAGGACCATGCCGCCAGCGCACTCTTCAGCCTAGTCTTAGACGATCAGAACAAAATGGCAATAGGCGTTCTCGGAGCTCTCCCTCCGCTTCTCCACTCTCTACGTTCAGAATCCGAACGGTGAGACTCAACTCCGTTCAAGCTCTACTTGCCATGGTGAAATCCGGTCACATGACAGGTCCCATTCTCCTAGTTCTCTACAATCTCGCAGCCAGCCCGGAAGGCCGCGCAACCCTACTTAGCGGCAGTGCCGTGGAGTGCTTCGTCAGAATGCTAAAAACTGAGGATCTTGACTTAGACTCCGCAAGAGAGAGTTGCTTACTGCATTGTATGGCCTCAGTCATGGCCTCAAAAGGAGGTAGGATGAATTGACACAATTACCCCTTCCCAAACGGCCAACAGATGGGAATTTAGACAGAGGACTAAAATTGTCCTCATCAGGATAAGTCTGCCCAAAAAATGGCAAAATTTTGTATAGAGGACTAAAATTATCTGTGCCACTATAAGTCTAGGACTAAAAATGTCTATTACTCACCTTTTTTTTTTAGTTCGGAGACCCAAATAACTATTCCAAAATTGGTGCAAAATTGGTAAGAATGAAGTGAAAATATGTTACAAAGAATGAGAGTCATCACTACTGAATAAAAATAAGTTTAAGGGTTAATGCCTAAATTGCAAGAGTTCATTCATGATGAGGGATGGATGGGATATTGGGATACTAAGGTACAACTGACTAATAAATAATAATTGACATATTTTTTAGGGGTATAAACTATAATTTTCTCATACTTAAACTATATATCCAAAAAGAAACTCTCCTCTATCTTCTTCATCCTTTGCAAAACATGGCTTCATCTCTCCGTTCCTTTACAGACGTCCTTCTCTTTGTGATAATGATCATGGCCACTGGTTTGCCTCCTCCTTCTTTTTCTTCTTCCTTTCTTCATAACTGAGCTGTACTGACCCAAAACTCCCATTTTTGTTGTTTTATAAATATGCATATGAATGAATATATGTGTGGTAATTGTGTGCTTGCAGAGATGGGAACAAACACTACAATAATGGTGACGGAGGCGAAGAAATGCCCGATCCCGAGCTCCAAGTTCAAGGAGCCATGTGATGAGGTCGGAAAATGCGTAGCGGCTTGCAAGGGGGAGGGGTTCCCCGAGGGCGACTGCAAAGGGATCACGCGCCGCTGCTACTGCATTAGGCCTTGCTAATTCATCTACCTATAGAGCCAGATGTGGATCAGTCTTCTCTGCTTTTGGCAAAGTCAGAATTCATATCCAGTCGGGTCAATATACTAAAATTCAATATATAAAAATATGAATGTCCTAATAAGTTATATTTATAAATAAATGTCTTCATTTTACAATTGTCCACGCCTCACATTTTCATATTTTGAAAATGTTGCTTTATCAACGCTTTGAAACACATTCCTTTCAATAAAAATAATCAAACAATCATCATTCATTGAATTATCTTCCATTCGATTCGATTGCGCAGTTTATTCTTCACTATTTTGGTTCGTTAGTGAAAAAGCTCTTTGAATACTTGCGGTAGCCATCAGGGGCGGCGCCACCTGCATGGTCCCCCCTCAAATTTTTTTAATAGTATAATACTTATTTTGGTGTCCTCTCTCCTCAAAATATTTGGCCCCTTCCAATCAATCTTGCAGAGTTTTCATATATCTTTGAAGTTGGTCATTTTTTCATATATCTTTGAAGCTTTGACTCTTTCATTGAGTTTGGTATTGTATATTTTCATTTCTCTTCAAGCAACATTCTGAATAACTGCATTAATGACGGCTTCGGTCTTCCAAGTCAAAGAGGATGGTGATTACATAAACAAAGAATTTGATATATAAGATAGATATTAATTTAAAACAAAGAATAAATTAAGATTATCATAAGCATAGAGTGATTATGTATACATCATGAGTAGGCATAATATTAAAAAGAAAATATTAGTTTTCTTCTCGCTTTTAGAGATTTAATAATGTATGTTTGAAATATATTAGATGAATATTAATATATTTAATTATTTACTCTAATATTCTAATTGGTCTCCGCATCATCTAATCCTGGCTCCGCCCCTGATAGCCATCGTGTACCGGAGGAGTCGATCTGCTGCTTTACCAGCTCTCATGGTGTTTGAATTGGTCGATCTCTTGCTTGCTTGCTAGCTGGTAATTACATGTATTCAGTTGTTTCATGTTTCGTACGTTTGCAGTTTTCTTGTCTGAAGTTATCAACTAATTTCTCCTTTGTTTTCTCATTCACACAAATTTTAAGCGCCGTAAACCGCGGTCACATTAATATAATGGCAAACAAGTTTAAGAAAACTATGTTGCATTGTCTACTGGCCTAACTTCTAACACTATTTAAAAATTGTGCATTGGCAAAACCAATCACCACTCAAAATGTAATAAGTATGTAACATTATTTTTAAAAAATTCACACAACAAAAATAAGTCACGAATGACGGGTTTAATCGAAATAATGTTAACAAGGTCAGAATTAAACTCGTAATTTTCTAGTAGCAGCAAAATCATACATCACATGATTGAAGACGTACCGTACCCCTTTCTAGACAATGTATGGTACTATCATTTTACCCTCTACTTGCAATCTTACCATGTGCTTAGATGGCACTTGGGTTAGACTTCTAAATGGAAGGTTGTAAGTTTGAGCCTTAGTGGAGGTGTTATTGATTTTTTGTGCTTGAGTAGGTTGAGAAAGTAGTTATGAACTACCTCACTCACTGATATTGTGTGAAGTCCCCACCCACAGCATTTGCATTTACCCCAAAACCCTCTTTTGTTCTCAAACAAAAGATGGCTTCTTCTTCCTCACTCTTTGTGATGCTCTTCATGGCCACCGGTTTGCCCTCTCCCTTTCTCCATTATTTCTTTCTAACATGCCATGGGATTTTATTATTTTGAACCTAATTGTGTTTATTTATTTATAATAATTATTCGGGGACAGGACAGGACGGAGAGAGGTATCTCCGTTTTCGTTTCCTAAAAATTTCCCGCCAACTAAAAGCTCAATTTTTATTTTTTATTTTTTTTAATACTAATGTCTCTATTAGAATGTAGTATGGAAGTGCAATCTTGGTACCATTAGACCACAAGGTCTTGGCCTCAATTTGTTTTCTAAATTTGAAGAAAATAATAAAGACGATGTTACCTTAAAGTGGATTAGTTTCCAATTGTATTTAATTAGTCTTGCATGTTTTTTATGTAACTAAAATAATCATTCTTCCAAAAGGCTGAACCCCAACCCTAAGGGCCCCCACACCCCGACCCGACAGAGCATTTGGGAGTATATAACTAAAATAATCATGTCATCATGTATCGATGCTTTACTAGCAATATTGTTTACATTTTATTATTGTTATAATGTTATGGAAAAATGATACCCTCCCCCCCCCCCCCCCCCCCACCCACCCTTTTTTTTTTGAAACACTGATACAGAAGAATTGCGATAATAAACCAAACTTGAGGAAGTACCATTTAGTTACTGTAAAATCCATTTAACAACGTTCCAATGTTCCTAGACTTCCAAGACCACTAGAGTAAGGAACTTAAAATGAATCAGAAGATAACTTAAAATGTGCATCAAGTGGAGTAGACACAGACTTACCATTAGATATTTTGAATCAATCAAGAACCTTCTCAACATACTTTTTCTGGGATAGATAAAGTTTACCAGCTTGACGATCCCTATGTATCTCCATGCCAAGAATCTTATTTGTTGCACCAAGATCTTTCATCTCAAACTCATTGCTTAGTAATTGAGACTTCAACTTATCAACAAGAAACATGGCAGGGGAAGCAATGAGCATATCATCAACATAAAGTAGTAGATCGGCAAAAGACCCATTAGAAAATTCTTTAAAATAAACACAATTGTCATATTGGCTTCTTGACAATCCTTGCCCCAACATACAAGCTTCAAACTTGCTTATACCATTGCCTTGGAGCTTGCTTTAGTTCATAAAGAGACTTCTTCAGAAGGTAAACACAATGTTCATTCCCAGGAACTTCAAACCCCTTAGGTTGGTACATGACAGACAACTAGAGAAAATATCTCTTTAAAGTCAATACCTTCTCGTTGATCAAAACCTCGAACAACCTATCGTGCCTTCCACCGTGCTTTCCCAACCCTAGGGATGCGTTCTTTCTTCTTGTAAATCCACTTACAGCTCAACGGTCATTTACTTTATGGAAATTCTACCAACTCTCAAGTCTCATTCTTATGGAGACTCTCAATTTCCTCTTGCATAGCAACCAACCACTTGGACGAGTTGACACAGGAAATAACCTCAGAATAGCAGGATGGATCACCATCAACCTCCTGTGCAACTGAAAGAGCATAAGCCACTAAGTGGACTTCATCATCACTAGCATACCTAGCAGGTTTTTTAATTGTCCTCCTAGGCCGATCAGGCCGATCTTTAGCAATTGAATACTCTAGTTGTGGTTCAACAAGAGGTGCGGTATTAGTAGATGCATCATCTGTAACAACCCGAAAAATTTCCTCCAAATTAAACCTATCTTATAAAAATTTCACCAAAATCCAATTATATTATTTTATTCCTACAAATTTTTTTATCAAATATAAATAAAGTATTTTAAACCTTCTATTCCAAATGAACTATTCATATACGTATTTATGGATTTAAAAGCCTTACTTAAGAGATATATTTATTTATCAAAATCATGACCCAAAAGTCTATCTGAGACGAATCTGTGAAATTGATAACCTTCTTTTAACGCAAACTTAATTTCAAAATGAATCTAAGCTATTTTTATATTTAATTTGATATATTTTTATCCAAACTTAATTCAACTTTTGACCCAAACTTTCAACCAAAATATTTCAGCCTAAACCCACACAAGGTACTAGAATATTTATTTATTTCTTTGGAGACCAAATCAGCCACATCTTCACCATTTCACCTAGGATTTTGTGTGTGTGTGTGTGTGTATATATATATATATATATATATATATATATATATATATATATATATATATATATACACACCATCTTATTCTTTTGTCTTCCCTCAATTCTCTCTCGTCACATTCTCTCGCCTAAGTGTAGAAGCAGAGCTAGGGGAGTCAACATTTGCAGTAAACTTTCTCTCCTCTCCTTCCTCTTTATTCTTCTTCATTCTTCTTCCATTTTCTTCTTCATTTCCCTACTACTATGCTTATGTTTGTATATGTGTGTATGTTGTTGTATGTTTGGTTTTGGAGTCTTATTTGGTGAAGAAGGAGACCAAATTTGAAGTTATAGATGATGGGTTCTTACTTTTGGAGCATCAAGCTTGAGGTATAACCATGGATACCTGAAAACCTATTATTTTACTCTTAAGTGTTTGTAGAATGTATATTGTGATGTTATTGATGAAGTTTGAGTCTTAGAAATATTTGTTATCTTGTGTTTTATGTTTAAGATATGTTGGAAGATGTTGTATTGTTGTTATTTTGCTATGGTTGTGTGTTTTGGAGCTGTAGATGGGGTAGAAATGGTGTTGGGGGATTGGCGGTGACGCAGAGGAAAGAGGCAAGGCTACTGCCTCACCTATTCCCGTGAACGTGCGGGACTAAGCATAGGCTTGGGAAGCCTACCGGCCAATCCCGCATGTGTGTGGTAGGGCACGGTGGCAAGCCCCTCAAGCCTGCCACCCACACCTTGGCTGCCGCGGGTTTGAGCGGCAGGGCTCTACGCCCCGCCGCCCAGACCCGTGTGACCAAAGGGCCTTGTAGTAGAACCCCACGTTCTGTTACGGGTCAGACCACTTTGTTGTTCTGCAGGTTCAAATAACTCGTGAGGCTGGGGGACTTCTTCTAAATGTATTTATGTGCTAATGTGCAACGTGTACAAAAATCTATTTTCCACTAAAAGTATGAGTTAATATTTTTACTATGTGTGAACCAACCTTGACTTATTATAAATGTTTAGTATGTCTTTTAGTTGATGTTATGACTTTGAATGTTCAATGTGAGTTTACAAGTATGATTTTAGCATATTTGACTTATTAAAAGTGTGTGGGTGTATACACAAGTGTGATTGCATATACATCTATATTTCACAATTTTCATATAAACAAAACCTATGTTTCGAATACTAAAATACCCATCCATTTTAGAAACTTATCCCTATCTATTATTCATCTTTTTAACGTACAAATATATGGTTATACTTATCTACCAACCTTTTTCTCAAATAAAACCTATATTTCAATCATCTATCCTTTCCCCTATTTTAGAAAACTATATTTATAACCTATTTCAAAACATATGTATTATGAATGAAATCCATTTTGGAAAGAAAGGTTTTCAAATGCTATACCACCCTATTTTCAAAAGAGTGAGGAAAACGTATATTTTTGGAGGACCCAATTGG